TTAAAATGCATCTGTTGTACAACTGCTGAGTTCAGAGACTCTCGCAGGGGTGGGCAATCAGGCAGATGGTGCGCTTCACGACCAAAACCACTTGCTGGAGATGCCACATTCAGAGGAACATGTAAATACTTGGCACCGTTGTGAGAGTTTTCAGAGGTGTTACATCCATTTAGAGAGTTACAGCTTTGGTGGTGACAGCTTCTCATTTTGGGCTAGCAGGATTAATTCTTCCTCTCTTATTTTTACTCTTGACATTCCAGAAATTGCCACAATTTCCTGATCTAGATCAAGTTCATGGAGTTGTGTTTTTCTTATTTGCCTCCTTACTTAAAGTGGGTTAGTTTCTGTACCAACAGGAGGGGTGATCTAGAGGGACAGGGTGACCTGGAGTAAATGGGTCTCACATGTCACCATGGAGTTTTCAAGCCTGTATACATGCGGCTTCCCACTTTCCAATAACCACCACCAGCAGCCAATGATATTGTGTTTTCTTTTCTTTCACCCCAAACTTGCTATACAAAGTATCAAGGATATTTCCTCTGGGCATTCTCTTGCCCATCCAGCTATTTATTAACCAGATTATTAAATGGGAAATATAGTTGTCTCCAGGATCTGAGTCTCCCAGCAAGAGATGTCTCAAAGTAGGAATGTCGGGTTAGAGACAGGAAGGTCACAGAAGACAAGGGTGCAGACGATCGAGAAGAGACAAGGGCAAAGGCCCCCTGGAAGAATGTGAGGACGATCAAGGATGAGAAGTGGCACTCGGGCCTGGGAGAAGTGACTGAGAGTTAAGGTGTGGTAAGACAGATCAGGGTCGGGTGTTACTCACAGAGCGTGGATCTGAGCGTACAACGTGGCGACCTGCAGCCTTGTCCTGGATGAGGACATGGATGCTCACAGACCATAGGATGTGGAGGTTCCCTTAAATGAATCCACATTCTAGACAAGAATCCACACCAATGAACAAAACGGACTGTCCAGTAGGAAGATAGAGGCAGAAAAGGTGTCAGGAAAATGTGGCGGAGTGGGTTAGTGTTCCGGAGGAGATGGCATGTCAGCTGGGCCTCACCGAGAGCCCAAAGTGTGGTGGCCCAAAGGAGAGCGGGTGGGAGAGAAGGGTGCAGTCTCGAGTGTGCATACTCCTAATTCCACAGCACACAGGATAGAGGCCGGCACGTCCTAACCACCCTGCAGCATTTAGTGAATGAGTGAGCGAGCTGAGCCAGCCCTGTAGCCTAGTGGGTAAGAGCCAGATCCCACGAGCGACCGCGGTTCAACTACGGGCCCATGGCAGGAAAAACGCGCCAGGCACGAGTGCATGTGTGCCCTAAATCCTGACAGGGTGGCAAATGGAGAAGGGATGGTGGTATGGCCACGCCCCACTTGGGGTGCTTTCTCTCTCTCCCCCTCTCCCTCTGGCAAGGAAACAAAATGAATGTATGAATAAAGACTAAGGCTTCCTTGAAACTTCATACCATAAGATGAACTATTAGAGCATACTTCAAACTTGCACCGTCACACTTCAGACTACAT